AGCTGGGCGGCCGGCAGCAATGAGGCTGTGGCTTCCTCAGCAGAGGCAGAAGACCGGCCACAGAGCAGGGCGACGGGGCACGATCTGGGCACCTCTCAGGGAGTCGGACCCGCCACAGGCCTTCAGCCTAAAAATATGCATGGCCCCAGGCTGAGGAAATGCAAACAAGGGCTCCAGCTCCACACACGCTCAGGCCTTCACTCCATCAAAGGCTGCAAAATGAAGAGATTTAGTGGCGAGGGGGAAAGCAACGCCACAGCTAAAACCTGGATGTCCCCATTTTCCTGTGAAGATCTCCGCATCCCCTGTAATGACGATAATGGTAAAGATGATGGTGGTGATGGTGATGGTGATGATGATGGTGGTGATGGTGATGGTGATGATGATTATGGTGATGGTGATGATGGTGATGGTGATGATGGTGATGGTGGTGGTGAGGATGGTGGTGATGATGGTGGTGATGGTGGTGATGGTGGTGATGATGGTGATGGTGTTGATAGTGGTGGTGATGATACTAATATTAGTGAAACTTTATTGAGCACTTACTATGTTCTAAGTATCTTACTCTCCTTTAGCCTCACCACAACCCTGGGAGGTAGATGCAATCATGCGCCCCACTGTATAAAGGAAGAAATGAGGCTCCAAGGGGGTCACCACTTCCCAAGGCCATATCGGTACATAGTGTTGGGATTCAAATCCACACTCTTAATAGCTGGGTTTTCCCACCTAGGGAATTACATTATAGGATTGTCTTACTTCTGGATTAATAAAACAAAATCCACCCAGAAAAAAAAAACAATAATTAAAAACCATTTTTAACCTTTTAACTCCTGGAGAATGAGGGACTGGCTTCCTTCTTGCAGGCTCAGAAAGGAACTTCAGAAATCTAAAGAGAGCAGCCCTCGCTGCCCCCCACTGCCTCTCACTGCGCCCCATGCCCTGCCGTGTCTCTGCACCTACCACGTCACCCCCTGGGCTTGAATGTGAACTCCTAGAGGACAGGTACTTGGGTCTGGTTACTTCCTCCAGCGCACGGCACACAGCAGGTGCCCAAACATTTGCTGACATGGGACTTGGCCTCCCAGCAAGCCCAAAGCCCCCACAGGCAGGAACCCAAAGCTAGGTTGGGCATCCCCAGAGATCACCTGTGGCCAAGCTGCTCATCAGGGGTAACCTGTTACACCTGCCCAGGCCGCCTGCCAGGAAGCCGGGGACAGCTGTCCTGCCCGTCCCTCTTCCAACCACAGTGACTCAGGCCCTCTCTCGTCCCCTGGGGCCTCCAGACCCACCCTGTGGATCGAAGCCAGGGTCGCGTCGAGGGGGTAGCCACCTCAAACCGTGACGGGACCAGGTGCCCACAATGTCAGCAGGTTGACACAGGCAGAAGATGAGCAGCTGCTGGCAGCCTGATGGGGAAGCCACAGGCTCCTGCTTCATTCATCTAAGCGAGGACCAAGTGGCTCAGCCTGCCCACACGTCATCGCCTCCCTCGTCCTGCCTGCAAGCCACCCTCGTCCTGCCTGCAAGCCTCCCTCGTCCTGCCTGCAAGCC